ACTGCTACTACTACCACTACTACTACTACTACTACTACTACTACTACTACTACTACTACTACTACTACTACTACTACTGCTACTCCTACTACTACTGCTGCTACTGCTACTACTGCTACTACTGCTACTGCTAGTACTGCTACTACTGCTACTGCTACTGTACCCCTTAACCCTATAGTACCCAGATCCTGTGGACCCTTAGGCTGGGCTGGAGGGTCTCCTGTAGCTACCTTAGCATGGCTCCGGCTGTTTGCGGAGAGCGGCAGTGGTCTACTATAGGGGCGGTAATAATCACAATAGGGTTTTGGGGGCTCATTCTACTATAAACATAGTAAGGATTCCCCCCAAAATAGTATAGGTCAGTATCAATGCGCCCCTATACTAGACTGAAGGGTCGAATCAAGTCAGTGATCCGTCTGGTTCTCGATCCCGAAACGGCCTCCCTGGTCAGACCACCTGCGCGTGGTTGCTTGATCTTCCGGTCTCTTCCCCAAGCCCTTGTCCTTCACAAAACACAGAGCTGCCCTCAACCCTAAACCCTAAATCCCTAAACCCTAAACTCCTAAACCCCTAAACCCGCTGCCTCCGATCGTGCTAGGTGTGGTCATTCTGAAGCCCTTCATCTACAAGGCTCAGGTTTAGGCGTCGAGTTTTGCAAATTTCGGCTGAACCCCGCCAAACTTTACACGTCTTAGGGTTTACAGGGTTTAGGGCCGGGTTTCGCCAAGTCGCAAAAACGCAAAGCCTAAAAGCCTAACTAAGCCCCTGAACCGTATGCTGTCTAAACCCAGCCCCTGAACACCCGACCTCTTATAGAACTCTTGTAGAAACGCGTGTGTAGAACATGACAGAACCTTTCTAACACCCTAATACACTCCCAGAAACCATCGAGAACCTCAACCCTAAACTCAAAACCCTAAACCCAAAGCCCTATAGATCCGTCACCCTAATCCTAAACCCTGAATCCTGACCTAGCTGGGGGTTCGGGCGCCATGCGCAACCAGCGTGATCGAGCTGCTGAGAGATCTGCCTTTGGGGCTATATGGCAGTTTCCGAAAATAGGGGTACCTTATTTAGGGGTCCTTATAATAGGGATCCTATTAATTATTTAGGGTACTATATTAGGGTCCCCTATTTTCGGAAACCCCCATATGGGATCTTAGAGGGTATACCTCCAGTCTCCATTGTATATTCCTTTTTTTCTTGTTAACCAAAATCTATATTATAGGATCCTAACCATAAAAGTGGTTAACCAAAAAAGGAACTACAGTGGAGATTACAGGTAGGGTGTAAGGTTCATATACTTCACCAGCAAGAGTTTAGAGTGCTTGGGTCGGATCTCAAAATGCGGGTTTTCTAGGTGGAAAACGACTTCGGGATAGAATGCTATGACCAGATAGGGATTGAGGGGAAGTACTAACACTTCCGACCCTGTATTATCCCTTCAACTGCTGGGTTCAGGAAGGTGTTCTGGCAGCGCTGTTTAATAGCCCAAAGGCTCCTATGTACCCTTAGAGTAGAATGTAGGGTTCCATATTAGGAATTGCTATTATGACTTAGGGAAGTATCCCCCATAACAGTACATAGGACTCTTTGGGTAGGAGCTTTACGGTCCGAGGTCCAGGATGGTTCTCAGCGCTCTAAAACTGGGACTTAATAAGGAATTACCAATAGGCCCCATAGTAGTTCCTTTTCGGGGGCTCATATTTAGAATCCTATAAGGTAATCCCAAAAAGAGGAACTACTATGGGGCCGATGGGTAAGGTCTAGAGTTTGGCTTTTATAAACTAGGCCGGGCCTGGTGTATTCGCGGACAAAGAACACACGAACAACCTAAGCCCGAAAATCCTGGGTTTGATGCACCTGGGCAGCGCTAGAAAGTAGGGCCCCTTTTATGGTCCTTTTATAAGGGTGTCGTACTATAGTTATTTGGATATAGAAAGGGATCCTAATTTAGAGAACTACCGACCTCGCCCCAAGCGCAGCCCCATCCGACCTCCACATCAGCGATTGCAGCCATCTCAACGCTGTAGAGCGAATGAATCAAGAGCCGGTTTAGGGAGACTATGGTATTCTATCGCTAGCAGGTTTCGGGTTTCAGGTTCTAGGCCCGGTTTCGGAATCTTAAAGTCGGTTAGGGCTCATAGATTTGGCTTTGGGCTTGAGATGGCTTCAGCTTGCATTGGGGCACATAAGGTCCCAAAGGGTCCTATGTACTGTTATGGGGGATACTTCCCTAAGTCATGATAGTATTTCCTAATATGGAAACCCTACATTCTACTATATCGGTACATAGGACCCTTTGGGGGTGCAGGATTTAGTGATTGGCTTCAACGATTAGGCGTCAAGCTTTGGAGAGTCTTGAGTCTCCCTGGACCCTAAAGAACCTACCTTTTTCGGGTTCCTTATACCTTTTTAGGGTCCCTTATACCTTTTTCGGGTTCCTTATACCTTTCTAGGGTCCCTTATCCCTTTTTAGGGTTCCTTATACCTTTTTAGG